CGGTTCTGGCGGTACCACTTTTAGCATAGCTTAGCATAAATCATTGAAGTGGACAAGACCATTAGCATTTCTAAAAAGAAAATGACCAAAGAGTTTCGATATTTTTCCTATTTAAAACTTGACTCTTCTGTAGTTACATCGTGCACTAAGACCGACGGAAAATGTAAAGTTGCGATTTTCTAGGCTGATATGGCTAGGAACTATACTCTCATTCCTGCGTAATAATCAAGAAACTTTACTGCCGTACCATGAGAGCAGCAGGCGTAATGATATGACGCAGCGCCTGAAAATAGGCCACCTTCCGTCAACACAACGGAACTATTTTCAGGCGCTGCGTCATATCATTACGCCGTATATATATATACTATCATATACTATATATATATATAGGCTAATTGCGCAGCTCCCCCTGTCAATGATCTAGCACCCCCTCAGCACCTGCGTTAAAAATTATCTGGCGCCGCCCCTGGCTGTGACTGATCATTTCACTGGGGCTCTTGTGCTGTGAGTGTGTAGTGCGTTTGAGGGGAACGCAATATCTTTAAGCGAGGGTATCTCTAAATAGAGGCCGCAGTTCTTTCTGTGAACATAGTGTGTGTAATTGATTGTCTGAGGCTTGTTGCCTTTTTGTGTCTGTTTTTTTTATCAGAAATGATAATAAACTCTTTGTACTTTGCATAAATACCCATGTCTCCATGTCTCCCTGTCTCTAGTGGGGAACCTGTGCGCGGGTAACATTCTCTGGGTGACATTCCCAGGGTGGCGTAGATTAAAACCTATAGTGTTTCCTTGTTTTCTTGTGGTTGCCACAATTAGAACAATACCACCACCTTTGTCTGCAGACTTGACGATGACCTTGCTCATTTGCTGCAGGGAAGGTGTGATTCACCTTTGGTACAGTTGGCAAAAAAAATTTGACAAAGAAGATTATCAACATGCCTCTCAAAAGTATCGATTGGAGCAATTGATGTTGGCGGACAAAAGGTGCTCTTCATTTTAAAAGGAGTGTAGATTATTTGTGTTACAGGGGTTGTTGGGTTTTTGTCAAAAAAGTATCTCAGTTTTAAGCAAAGGAAGAATTTTAAAAGTTAAATTGGTTCATGGGTTGCCTTTCAATGAAAGCTTTCATATTTATCCACTAGGCAACAAAACTACCTACAGTACAAATGCATTGTGCCAACAGGAAAGTTCATTGAGTTTGGTATTTCCTAGTTCTGGTTTTCTTGTCAATTCTGAGATTCCATCTTTGAGGCAACAGCCTGGAGAATGCCATTTTCATATTTTTTTCAGCATGACCAAGAGCCCAAGCACAAAGTGAGACCCACGTTAAAATGGTCAAGATGTTAATGATCAATGTGCAAGTGTCCACATTGGTCATGAAGTGCATTATGAGAGTATCCTCAAGTAGAACAGTACAGTCAGAATAACTTTATATATATATATATATACACTCACCGGCCACTTTATTAGGTACCCCATGCTAGTAACGGGTTGGACCCCCTTTTGCCTTCAGAACTGCCTCAATTCTTCGTGGCATAGATTCAACAAGGTGCTGGAAGCATTCCTCAGGGAGTTTGGTCCATATTGACATGATGGCATCACACAGTTGCCGCAGATTTGTCGGCTGCACATCCATGATGCGAATCTCCCGTTCCACCACATCCCAAAGATGCTCTATTGGGTTGAGATCTGGTGACTGTGGAGGCCATTTTAGTACAGTGAACTCATTGTCATGTTCAAGAAACCAATTTGAAATGATTAGAGCTTTGTGACATGGTGGAAGTAGCCATCAGAGGATGGGTACATGGTGGCCATAAAGGGATGGACATGGTCAGAAACAATGCTCAGGTAGGCCGTGGCATTTAAACGATGCCCAATTGGCACTAAGGGGCCTAAAGTGTGCCAGGAAAACATCCCCCACACCATTACACCACCACCACCAGCCTGCACAGTGGTAACAAGGCATGATGGTTCCATGTTCTCATTCTGTTTACGCCAAATTCTGACTCTAACATCTGAATGTCTCAACAGAAATCGAGACTCATCAGACCAGGCAACATTTTTCCAGTCTTCAACTGTTCAATTTTGGTGAGCTCTTGCAAATTGTAGCCTCTTTTTCCTATTTGTAGTGGAGATGAGTGGTACCCGGTGGAGTCTTCTGCTGTTGTAGCCCATCCGCCTCAAGGTTGTGCGTGTTGTGGCTTCACAAATGCTTTGCTGCATACCTCGGTTGTAACGAGTGGTTATTTCAGTCACTGTTGCCCTTCTATCAGCTCGAACCAGTCTGGCCATTCTCCTCTGACCTCTGGCATCAACAAGGCATTTCCGCCCACAGAACTGCCGCTCACTGGATGTTTTTTCTTTTTCGGACCATTCTCTGTAAACCCTAGAGATGGTTGTGCGTGAAAATCCCAGTAGATTAGCAGTTTCTGAAATACTCAGACCAGCCCTTCTGGCACCAACAATCATGCCACGTTCAAAGTCACTCAAATCACCTTTCTTCCCCATACTGATGCTCGGTTTGAACTGCAGGAGATTGTCTTGACCATGTCTACATGCCTAAATGCACTGAGTTGCCGCCATGTGATTGGCTGCTTAGAAATTAAGTGTTAACGAGCAGTTGGACAGGTGTACCTAATAAAGTGGCCGGTGAGTGTATATACAGTATATATATATATATATATATATACAGTATATATATATATATATATATATATATATATATACAGTATATATATATATATATATATATATATATATATATATATATATATATATATATATATATATATTGCAATGTAGCAACGACCAGAAAAAAACTGAAAACTGCATAAATGGATTTGAAATTTTTCAATATAATGCAATGTATGCATTGATCAGGTATGGCTATATATTAATACATATAGAATATTTATAAATGAAGACAAATATAGTATTACATGTAATATTTAAAAAGTTTTATCCTTTATTGTGTACATATATTGCACATTCATGTTCCCATATAAATGTGAATGTATGTTCGCACACACGCACTAATGGAATGAGTTACAACAGATTTCTAGTTCCCAGCATGCTTTGCTTCTGACTGTAAAATGAGAGCAAATGTTAAAGTTAAGTGTTTTTTAATGTTTTAATGTAATGAGGGGGAGGGGGGGATCTGTTAATTTTCTTTTATTTTGGAATTTAAAAGTTGTCCTGGTATGTGTGAGTTTTTGGGGTTACCATTATGCTGAAGAGTAGAGCCTGTGGTTAGGTTAATGATTGGTCTAACACCATTTAAACTAGAATTACTATATTTTATAAGTAACGACTGTGCACTTCTTAGTACTGTGATGACTCATGGCTAAATACTTTAGTACATACAGGTATGCATGTGCTTTTGTGAAATAGCTTGAAAAATTGAAACATTTATAATGTAAATTATTAAAAAATATAAGAAATATATTACTTTATGCATTTTACTATAAAAGTTTTTATGCTTCATGAGTAAATATATTTGCAATATATTACACATGCAGTACCATATCTGATCACATCTACATCAATATGTTATGAAGTGTATTACTGAATATAAAAGTACATACATTATGATATATTAGTAAATAGTGTCACATATTTTTCAATATATGAACAGCGGCAATTCCTTATGCATTATTCAATATTTTGTAATATATTAACACAATATATTATTCTGTATATTTTTCAACCATTTAATATACAGTATTGATCATTCATATATAGGGAAATATATTTTCTTTTCATAAGGGTTGCCAGGGAGAGCGAAATCGAGGATCCCCATGCAAGCGCTATAAGGATCAGCTGAAGCAACAGTTGATGCAAGTTGATTTTAATCAATCAATGTTTATTTAGAGCACATTTAAATACAACCGAGGTAGACCAAAGTGCTTTACAATGGATAAAATAATCGCAATGAAAAGAACAAAATATAGAAATAAAAGCAAAAAAACAAACAAAACAATAGACAATCAACACTATAAAAAGAGAGACCCAAAATAACATACTAAAGCAGTGGTGGTCTAGTTTTTTGTAGTGAGTATACTGTGATATACCAAAAAATGATTATTAAACTTGTGTGATATTCCTTTAAAATGATGTTTTAATAGATTTGATTATTATTATTTTAAAAAGTAGGCTACATCTTATGCAATTTCTTTCATAATTTCTTCGAGTTACTTTCTCTCTACAAACTTTTATTTTGGTGGGTTTTAATAAAGACATTTGTGTTTCTGTGTGTTTTTAATAAACTATTACTATTATTATTATTATTGGGCCTACTTGAAGTATACTCTAATGTGCAATAGTAATATATTAATGTTATATTTTCTTAAAGTTATACCAAACTTTTATTTTGACAGGTTGTCATGAAGACTTTAAAGTTTGTGAGTGTATATGATGATACGAATGAATGACGTTAGTTTTATCAAATGAAATGGTAAAATTCTTGTGAAGTGACTCTCATAAAAGCTCTGCGATGAAGTTTAAATGTGTGCATGTCCTCCTCATAGACGCTGAAAACCCCACGAGTGTCACGCACACTTCTGTGTGCAGTAGCACACATTGAGAGCTCATTCACAGAGACACGCAGAACATGCAGAGTTTATTTCAATAAACAGTTGTCTTTTTGAGTCTTTTTGAGCTTTAATATTCATAGACACTAGTACATATCGAGCTTTGATTCATTGTACATCCCTACTTTTGATTTATTCATTAAAAAATGGCCAAATTGCGTGACGTTCCGCTAGACAGTCGGCTAAGTAGGCTACATTTGTGACTGGATTCCACGATTCGATCCGTGTCGCTGCGCAAACACAGACGGGGTGAATTTATGAATGAAAGTTTGAAAGTTCTGACACAAAACGATGTTGTTACGAATCCTCACGCTTTTTTAAGTGGGTATACGTAAATCCTTGATATTTCCTAGTGGGTATACGGCGTAGCCTATACCTGCGTATCACGTAGACTACACCACTGTACTAAAGGTATGTTAAAAAGCCAGGGAGAATAAATGTCTTAAGATAGGATTTAAAAGCAGTGATAGATGGGCCATGCCTAAGTTAAAGAGGAAGGCTATTCCAAGTGAGTTTCGGTCCAGCAGTATAGCGAAAGCGAAATAGACACGATTTTTAAGTTTAACTCTAGAGACAGTGAGTAGGCCAAGGTCACAAAATCTTAAGGTTCTAGAAGGGGTATGCAGGACCTTAAAGGGGTCATATAATGCCATTTTTGTACAAGCTAATATGATTCTTTAGGGTCTAAATTAAAAGTTTGTAATATACTTTAATTAAAAATTCTCATTAGTATTGTAAGAAAACACTTATTTTACCTGGTCAAAAACAGCTCTGTTTTCAGCACGCCGTTTCAGTGCGTATGACTTTAAATGATCATGAGCTTTGCTCACCCCGCCTCTCTGTTCTGCGCATACACCGTTTGTAACTCAATAACTATAACGCGTTGTTCAGTATAAACGTGGGATTATGAATTATATTGAGAACATCATACATAGAAAACATGCTGTAATGTACCCTGAGTGTAAACCTTAGACGCATTCATTGTGAAGCGTGCAGCTAGCGATTTGCAAAGATTAATATATTAATATAAAGTTTAATAAGACGTTACACTCACTTCCGTTCTTCTGGAGGTTCAGCAGGAACACGAATTTCTGGTACCGATGCTTTTTCATGAGCAGCTTCTTAGCAAATCCAGCTTTATACTGATCCTCGTTTATAAAGCAGTCTGGTGTGTGAAATGATTCGCGCAAACATGAAAGCATTGACGTTGCTCGTGGGGAATATTCCCTTCGAAAACAAACACAGCCACTGCGTCTTCAGCGGTTTGGATTTAGGAACATTAAAATGACTGCTGTGTTCGTTATTACACCCAAGAACAGAACACCACAATCGCTTAGACGCCATTCGGCTCATAGACAGTGCTCCAGCATATCAACAATGACCGCGCCTGTCCGCGCAGACTATGATTGACAGCTGGTTCACAAGCGAGGGCGGGTCTGTGTTGACTCGCTCCTGTCAATCAACAATCGTGGGAGGGGCTTCCGAGCGTGTGACGTCACACGGTCGAACGGCTCAATTTGAGGCAGGGGAAAACATATAAGGAGATTAAAACAAAAACACTGGATGGATTTTTATCATTTTATGATGGTTGTGTACAGGCACTGCCAACACACATTTCAGTACAATCAACTTGTAAAAGTGCAGGTACCATTATATGACCCCTTTAAGATTTTGGACCCATAAATCAGTTAAGTATTGACCCATAAATCAGTTAAGTATTGAGGTGCATGGTTATTGAGGACTTTGTAGGCAAATAATGAGTTTAAAATCAATCTGATACTCGACGGAGCCAGTGCAAAGAAATTAAAATAGGAGAAATGTGGTCATGTTTGTGTTTCCCTTTGATTAGTCTAGCAGCAGCGTTTGTACCAGCTGCTGACGAGAGATGGAAGCCTGAGAAATGCCATTATACAGCAAATTACAGTAGTTCAAAATTGCTCATGTGGATGAAAAGGGCTTTGCTAAGTAGGCGAAGTTGATAGAAAACATGACTTGACAACAGCAGTGACCGGTTTGTCAAACTTTAAGCTACAGTCAAATAGGATGCCCAAAATTCCTGACACACTGCGTATTATATGGGGCAAGACAGCATGATTCAATGATTAAATGTAAAATGTAATGTAAATGTAATATTTCAAGCTATAACCTCATGAGCATATTGTTGAAATCGACTATATATGAAGTGAATTCTAATAGGTAACCAAGAGGCTGCGTGCTTTCATCAGACGTTTCTGTCGACTCAGTAAGCTCTCCCGCTTTTGGCCAATGTCAAAGTCTTCTTTAAGCAGGTTTTCCACACCATCTTTATCATGCAGCAACTGCAACATGTTCCTTTGCAGCTCCAAAGCTGCTTCCTGGAGCAACATATAGCGGATCACCATTGGGATCTGGTCGGCTAGCCGCTTGCTTGCAATCTGGTGAGGTATATAAGACAGCATCTCAGATACACATTACAATTTGAGCTTCCACTGATGGCACGGAAAGCTTTAGTTGGCACACTTACCACGTAGTAGGACTCTAGGTGCAACCTCATCTCTCGCAAGGTGGCATGACTGTCTGTGCTAAAGCTTATGCAATTCAAACTGTCTCCAGTGTCTTCATCCTCTTGCATCTTTTCCTTTGCATCTCTCAAGCTCTGGCTGTATGTGCCATCTTGACTGTAAACAATGAGCTCCATCTTGAATTGGGTCCTCAGCATGGATTCTGCCAATGATTCTTTATCCAGCTTGATGGCTTCGATCTTAGTCTTAGAAAGTATTTTTTTTTAATTATTGACAAATGATTACTCCTCTATGAGTGATAAAACAGAAAATTCCTTAAAACTTTTATTATTATTTAAAGGCATTACTGAATATTTGTCACTGAAAAGTAATGTGATTTATTTGTGTGGAATGTAATATTAACATTCCACTTGACAGTCCAAGAAATCCAACTGAAAGTAGTTTGAAATAAAATCTGAATTTATGTATTGCCAGAAACATTGGCATTCAAAAAATAAAAAACTACCTTTGCTGTTGTCAGAAGATTAGGGAATCCAATGAAGCTGAACTGTGCCAGCTGGATGAACTTCCTTCTAACCACATCTATGTAAACATAAACACACTGTTAATATAGCTTCTTTACCAAACTTCCAGCTTGAAAGCTTGATTATCCAGTGAATCCAGGAGTCAGGAGAAACTGCACTGTACTAAGCTACCTTTATCCAAAGCAAGATGTTAATGTAATCAAACAAAACTCAAAGCAACTTAAGGTTACATGCTTTACTTGAGGACAGAATGTTGAGTTAATGAGTCACCTTTCAATGTGATCTTTGATATGTATCCACTAGGCAACAAAACGTATTGTCAACAAATGAAACAATCAGCAAATCTATTGGATAAACCGGAACGTTCAGTTGTGGTTAAAATGGATTTCCTGGTTTTTCTTGGCAGTTCTAAGACTCCACCAGTTTCATAATGACAAAGGGCCTGTGCACAAAGCAAGATCCGTATGAAAATATTGGTAACACTTTACTTGAAGGGGTGTGCATAAGACTGACATGACACCTTCATAATCATGACATGACACATGACAACTTGACATGAACCAATGCATCATAACCTGTCAGTGTCTTTGTCATGACAACTTGACATCACCAAGAAAACACATGCTGTCATAAATATGTAATAAACATGACATAGCAGATTAATTATTAAACTTAAGAAACCACTTAGCTGTATGGGTTAACATTACATGAAACTGTCAGGTGGTTGGTTTTGACATTGGCTGTCATGAGGCCATTATAACTGTGTCATGAATATTTTTCTTGACCTCAACTACAGTGGTACAAATTGAATTTGTCATAAATTTTATATTTAATTAAATATCATAAATTAAATATTTATGACAGGTTGTGTTGTCTATAATGTCAAGTTGTTATGACAAAGACACTGACAGGTTATGATGTATTGGTTTATGTCAAGGTGTCATAACAAAGACATCTCAAACAATGTCATATTTGCATTAAAAATGTCATAATTGACCGAATGACACTTAATGACAGTTGTCATAAACATGCTTAACCCTCCTTCATGACATGTGTCATGTCATGATTATGAAGGTGTCGTGTCAGTCTTATGCACACCCCTTCAAGTAAAGTGTTACCAAAATATTCAACACATTATTAAAAGATTAAAAAAACTGCAGAAACGAAGTATAAAAATATTTTTAAACAACACAAACCAGAGACAGTCTTTAATGTCTTTAATGCAGGTTCCTCCAACAGCTTGATCTGTTCCCTGACAAGCCCCTCAAAGGTCTTGTAATTGATGAATCCTGGAAGCTCTCTTCCCCGATATTTGGCTTCATAGTTATCAACTTCTTTCTCAATCTTTGCGTTGACTGCAAAGGATTTATGAATAATGTCAGAAGGCACTCTTACGTTTACATTACCACAGATTTTTTTTAAATCAGATTTTTTCAACAACAAAAAAATCTAATAAAAAAAGCATAATGTATGCTTAAAGTTTTCATACATTAAAGGAAATGAAAGTTGTCAAATAATCCAAAAATGAAGATTAAAAGTAAAATGTTACTTAGATTCAATTAGCAATTTAGGTTGGTAAAATTTACTGCAGATGTGGATATGGTTAAAGTATTTTTATACAAACAAACAAACAAAAGCAACAGTACATAAGTTTTACTCACAGGAATATCCAGACCGATCCAAGAAGACATTCCATTTTGCAAATTCTTCACGAAGTTCTGGAAAAATCAGTAAATCTGATCCACATTTCACCTCTTCTCCAGTGGTCAGATTGAGGGTATCATGTGTGAAAGATGTAACTTTCTAAATTCAGTGATAAAATGTGAAGTAATTGTGAGTAATTTTAGTTACTCACTTATATTAATATGACTAAATATTCACACTTCTTTGATATACTGTAGTAGCTGTGTAAATTTCAAGGCTGTACTCACATCAATGAGAAAGCTCAGTCTTTCTGCAGGGTCTGATGGGGGTCCGTTGCCGTATGCCTCCAGTTGCTTCTGTGTTTCAGCGAGCTTCGCCTCGATTTGTTCTTCTAAACGAGGCAGGGATTTCTACACAGCATTCATGAAAATGAGCTATGTTTATTATGAGTCTAAAAATTCTGTAGGCCTTTTTTTTTTTGTTAATAAAGATTATTTCACCTGAATGTGATGAACCAACTCAATTGTTAGTTTCTCAGCCAACTTGGGAATAGTAGCAAAACCTTCTTCATAGAGTTTGCTGAGAGAAAAACAAAATCATAAAATTGACCTGTACCTGGACACAAGAGCCCTGATTTATTAAAATCCCAAATAATGGGTACTAATCTGCATGTGCACTTCGTAGGCATACTGCAGGTGATTTAATTAGACAAGTTGAAAAGTTCAGTTTGAATCTCAAAAAATAACTAAATGTTGTGACCATTTACCCACCTGAAATGAGGATGGTCTTTGAAGAAGGCATCCTCTGTTAATGTGGCCTCATTAAGAGTGACCTGATCTATAATCTCTTTTTGTCCCCTGCACCTTACAATCATGTAGCCTTTAGTAAGGTGAATGACCTCATTGTGCACAATGTCTACCACTGTCCCTTCAGTGCCCTTATCCACCAGATCCGGCTTTGTTAAGATGCCTGTTGTGTAGTAAAAATATGATCAGAATATTAATGCTCTTAATGCATGGTAACCTATGGTTTTACTGATAGCATTTAAATGCAATGAGTATTGCACACCTAAAGTTCTTTCGCCCTCAGGGTCCTCCCCCTGAGCCATCTGCAATGCTTCTGTGGTCGCAATGTCAACATTGCATGGCACCACAACCAGGTTGATAGTTTCTTGCTTTGTAACAAACTTCCTGATCAGTTTCTTAATCTGGAAATGCATTTCATTAATGTTCCTGTGTCTTTAAACAGACCATTAAATCACAATGTTCTTTCCAACAAAATATCATATGAAAAATATTGTGAAAGTAAAAAAAACAAAAACAGAGCATAGATTACAAAAAGAACATCATGAGAAAGTTATATTTACCTGATCTCCAATATTCTCAGGTTGACCCTTGACTGCCACTCGTGCAATCCCGGGAAGGTCAATGAGAGTGAGGTCAGGAACATTGGCAGAATGGATCTGCAGACTGATGAGATCATCACTAATACCAACACCTGGTCCAGCCATCTCATCCTGGGCTACAAACATAATTAGATATTGTTGAAATACTGACTTAGAGAGACCTCTGCATACATTCAAGCAAGCGTTTAATACCTTCACGAATCTTTTTCTCCACTTCTGCTGGGTCATCAATGTCTTCCTCATAGTTCTTGTAACTGATTCTCCCATGCCATTTGTCCTCGCCTGTAGTTCTTATCATCTTGATCTCAAGAGGGCATCGTGTAACAATTCCTGTACAAAATGGTGGAGGCCAGATGTAGTTTTATACCATGTATGTTCTTTGAAGAGCCTTAAGCCCTATTCGGACGGGATTAGCTTTACAAGGGTAGATGGAGTAATGTAATTTTACCACAGGACGTCTGTAATAATAATGGCCAATTCGCACGGGATAAGATACAGCTCTGGAAAAAATTAAGAGACCACTGCAAAATTATCAGTTTCTCTGATTTTACTATTTATAGGTATGTGTTTGAGTAAAATTAACATTTTTGTTTTATTCTATAACCTACTGACAACATTTCTCCCAAATTCCAAATAAAAATAGTCATTTAGAGCATTTATTGCAGAAAACGACATCTGGTCAAAATAATAAAAAAGATTCAGTGTTGTCAGACCTCGAATAATGGAAAGAAAATAAGTTCATATTAATTTTTAAACAACACAATACTAATGTTTTAACTTGGGAAGAGTTCAGAAATCAATATTTGGTGGAATAACCCTGATTTTCAATCACAGCTTTCATGCGTCTTGGCATGCTCTCCACCAGTCTTTCACATTGATGTTGGGTGACTTTATGCCACTCCTGGTGCAAAAATCCGGCTTTGTTTGATGGCCTGTGATCATCCATCTTCCTCTCAAGTGCTTTCGATCTTATTTTTGATGGTTTGTGGAAAACACTTGAGTTTTGCCAGAGACTTCTCCCAGCGTCTAGAACGCAACTGAATGCTTTTTCAAGTTTTTCAGTTGGAAAAACTGCGGGAAACTACTTTTGAACAGGAAATTATGGAATATTTACGTGTGGCACATTCGGACGGGACTAAAATCCCTGAGAAGCTCTGGGCCCGGTTCCCCAAAACGTTTTTATCGCCAAGTAGTTCTTAACCTATTCCTTAACCTCTCTCTTAACCTTATGGCTCGATTCCCGACACGTTCGTACGCTAAGTATATCTTCTGTAAGTCACACTTTCGTAAGGTTGGTCTGGAGAGTAAGCTCTCTCTTAGCATTTTTTGAGCTCAAGACGCTAGTCGCCGCCACTGTGCAGCAGTCTTTAGAAATCAGCGCAGCGCAGTACAAGTCAAACTATGGTATGTTGACAATGTTGTGTCTCAACAATGATTTTATATTTTATGGACATTTTAAGACTAATAATAAAATAGGTTCCCAATGGATACAGGCCTATTTATGAAGTTGACTTTATTTGGTATCAGAACTAATATGGTGGTAATTAGCCGAGGCTATTTCGTAATGTCATTAAAGAGTTTAAATTGGCAATCACTTTTGATAGGCTAATTCAAATCTGGCAAACAATTTGGCTCTAAATGGCTAAGATCTATAAATGGGTAAGCATGGTGGTGTCTAGTAACTGACCAACTATGTCACATTTTTTCAAAACTCTACACACAAAATGCAAAATGCCTCACATCTCCTTCAAAAATGTCATAAACACAATGTAAGAATGAAACATTTGCATCAAATGGCAAACATTTATTTCATAATAGTGCATTTTTGGATATACCTTGTAAATATTGTTTTTCTAAATCTAAAGCTCTTTGGTCATTCTTACACTTATATCTACATTTCAATACAATGTTCTACAGTGAAAGTAATCTTCTGAGAGGGGTAACAAGTACACTGTAATCACCAATGCAATGTAGAAACAGAAAATATGTATTAGGCCAAACATTACTGTTGTATACAGCAACCATAAACATATGTAAACCAAAAGTATATTCTTTAGAATACAGTAAAGAACACAATTGAGTGTGGGGGGTCTCTGTGTTGGCATCCATTGTTCAAACAGGTAATCTGACCTTTGACCTATTATAGGCTTGTAAAGCAGTGATTGGTTAGTGATCAGTAAAGCAATTAGTGTTTGCACATATATGAGGAGTGTGTGTGTGACCTGGTGAATAAGTGTAGCATTTGGATTGGTTGTGTTTGGAAAAGGAAAGCAAGTAAATTCCTGCTAGATTTGTGTGTTTTAGGTAGAGAATTGTATGTAGTGTTTTGAAAAAGTGTTTTATGCAATTGAAAACTGAGTCAAAGGCTGATAAATAGCTTATGGTTTTGTAGATTTGGTGTGTAGGTTTGCACTTTGAGTGAGAGGTTTCAGGGCCGGAGTGGGACTCATTTTCAGCCCTGGAGTTTCATGCCTTAGTTTCGGCCCACTTTAGTTCCCGACTGTCTATATTAAAGGTGACCTATAATTCAAAATTGAATTTACCTTGGTATAGTCAAATAACAAGAGTTCAGTGCATGGACATGACATAGAGTGAATCTCAAACTGGACTGTTTTCGCGTTCTCATTTAATTCACGTTTATGAAAAACACCCCTGAAAAACGGTCGGTTCTCCACACAATACCGACTGTGACGCAATAGTCGGGATCATTAATATGTACACCTCCAAATATTTGCATAATGCCAGCCCTCAATGCCAGGCGGAACTGCGCAGCCGAAGCATGGCAGTTGCTCAGTGTGGATGTACACATGAACACAAAAGTATTTTTTAGTTCCTTCATCTGAGCCTCTGAAGAAACAATGGGTTAATTTTATTTTCTCTGGAAATTTCCAAACATTTCACCGAGTGTTTCCTCAACTTGGGCCAATACAGAGCTGGCCTCGGATCGAGCTACCAAGCTGATGTGTAATTGTTCAAGTTCAGACAGGTAATCTTTCTCTCAAAATCGTTCTGTTTATGCATCAGTAAGTCAAGCCAGTGACTAAAATATCAGCTTCACATCGTTTCTTTTAGTAGGATGAAAATAATCGTATTTAAATTGTGAACAAATTATATACCAAGGCCAAGGGCTAGTTTCGATTTATCCCATTTTCGGATTATTTGAGGGTGCTGTGTTAATTGCTGGGCAGAGACAGCCACTGTACACAGATATAAAGTCGAAGAGATCCAGGACAAGGCCAGGACAAACGGTCAGTCTGTGGAATCGACAAGAGCGCGCAAGTAGATTTTTTCTTAATATCCAGTTCTCCTGTTGTTTCAGCTTAGTTTCTATCAGAAGGTAGGGCTATTTTCGATTCTGTGTTTATTTTAATTTTTTACCTTCTCACAAATCTGTATTTTAATTAGACGCGTTGCTACTTTATAACAGTAAATTGAATAGTTTGCGCGTCTGTATAGTATTGCAGTCTAAATTGCATAGCACTTAAGTGAGTCACTGGCCAAGGGCTAGTTTCGATTTATCCCATTTTCGGATTATTTGAGGGTGCTGTGTTAATTGCTGGGCAGAGACAGCCACTGTACACAGATATAAAGTCGAAGAGATCCAGGACAAGGCCAGGACAAACGGTCAGTCTGTGGAATCGACAAGAGCGCGCAAGTAGATTTTTTCTTAATGAAAAAATAAATTTTCTAGTGCATTATATCTATGTAGTGTGCGCGCTGTCGCGGAAGAGGAAGCGTTTCAGCCTCCTCGTGTGAAGACCGACTCGGGTAAAGACCATCGACTCTACCTGTGCGACTCCACCGAGCAAAGACATCAGCTAAGCACTTAAGTATCTACATCTCCCTTCCCTTCCCTACTCCTATCCTTATCCTATTTCCCTTAAACGTCATGTGCTTTCAATACATTCCTGTTGTCTCTCGACAACGCTCACTCATCACGTACAGAAGGCAGCGCAATCCTGCTAATCTGCGTCCTATTCTCTTATCCTCACACTCACCTCTCACTCTTTCTATGGGTCTATGGAACTGCCAATCAGCAGTCAATAAAGCTGACTTCATTCCAGCTTTTGCTTCTCATTCTACTCTTAATATTTTAGGCTTAACTGAGACCTGGATCCGTCCAGAAGACTCAGCAACCCCTGCTGCTCTCTCTAACAACTTCTCTTTCTCTCACACACCTCGCCAGTCCGGGAGGGGTGGGGGTACTGGTCTTCTCATTTCTAACAATTGGAAATACTCAACTCTCTCCTCTCTATGCAATAACAACTCATTTGAATGTCATGCTATTACACTTACAATTCCCATTAAGATCCAGATTGTAGTCATTTATCGCCCCCCCAGGGCAACTGGGAAGCTTTGTAGAGGAGCTAGATGTGCTGCTGTCCTCTTTCCCTGAGGATGGCACTCCACTGGTAGTCTTTGGTGATTTCAACATTCATCTAGAGAAGCCGTATGCTACAGACTTCATCTCTCTCCTAGCCTCTTTCGATCTCAGACGGCTCATCACCACAGGTACTCACAAGTCAGGCAACCAACTGGACCTGGTTTACACACGCAACTGCATCACAGACAACATTTTGGTGAAACCTCTTCACGTTTCAGATCATTTCCTCATTACTTTCAATCTACAACTCACTACCCACACTCCACCAACTCCCCTACCAGTTACTTTCAGACGAAACCTCCGCTCACTTTCTCCCTCCCATCTTTCCTCTGCTGTGTCATCCTCTCTTCCCTCACCCTCAAAATTCTCATCTCTGGATGTGAATACCGCAACGGATACTTTATGCTCCACTTGAACTTCTTCTTTAGACACTATCTGCCCTCTCTCCTCCAGGCCAGCACGCGCCACTCCCTCTAACCCGTGGTTATCTGAGGTTCTTCGTGAACACCGGACCAAACTCAGAGCAGCGGAGAGAAAATGGCGCAAATCGAATGATACATCTGACCTGAGTATGTATCAATCTCTGCTCTCTGCTTTTTCTGTTGATGTTCACGCTGCAAAATCTTCATACCTCCACAACAAGATCAACACCGCCCCTAACACACGAACACTTTTCAAGACATTCAACTCTCTCCTCTGTCCACCACCACCATCACCCACCTCCTCACTAACTGCTGATGACTTTGCTAACTTCTTCACTAACAAAACAACAACTATCAGCAGTCAGTTCTCTAATCCACACACACAGGAACCTAGACCAACCACTCCCACAGCCAATAACCTTCTCTCCTCCTTCACTCCACTAACCGAGGAAGAAGTATCTAAACTTCTCCTCTCCAGTCATCCTACCACCTGCCCTCTGGACCCCATCCCCTCACACCTTCTACAAGCCATTTCTCCCACACTTTTACCAGCACTAACACACATCATCAACTCATCCCTCCACACTGGCATTTTCCCTACAGCATTTAAGCAGGCTCGGGTAACTCCACTGCTTAAAAAAACAACATTAAACACATCACTCCTAGAGAATTACAAACCAATCTCTCTCCTACCATTCATTGCGAAAACACTTGAACGAGTTGCTTTCAACCAAGTATCATCTTTCCTGTCTCTGAACGACCAGCTGGATGTCAACCAATCTGGCTTCAAGAAAGGGCATTCAACCGAGACCGCATTACTATCAGTCACAGAAGCCCTGCGGATCGCTAAAGCTGCTTCCAAGTCATCAGTTCTCATCCTCCTGGACCTCTCTGCTGCCTTCGACACTGTGAATCATCAGATCCTTCTGTCCACCCTCTCATCACTGGGCATCACTGGAACTTCCCTCCACTGGTTTGAGTCCTATCTCACAGGTAGGTCCTTCAGGGTCGCATGGAGAGGCGAGGTATCCAAAGCACATCAACTGACCACAGGGGTTCCCCAGGGTTCAGTGCTTGGACCGCTCCTCTTCTCCATTTACACCACATCACTGGGACCCATCATACAGGCACATGGTTTCTCTTACCATTGCTATGCTGATGACACCCAGCTCTACCTCTCATTTCAACCAGATGATCCCACAGTAGCTGCTCGAATCTCAAGCTGTCTGGCGGACATCTCGGCATGGATGAAGGAACATCACCTGCAGCTCAACCTGACAAAAACTGAGCTTCTCATCCTCCCTGCTAATCTGTCTCCACAGCACGACTTCACTATCCAGCTAGATTCTTCCTCAATCACCCCATCAAAGTCGGTCAGAAATCTTGGTGTAATCTTTGATGACCAGCTGACCTTCACAGACCACATTACAAAGACAGCTCGATCATGCAGGTTTGCACTGCACAACATCAGGAAGATCAGGCCTTTCCTAACTGAGCATGCAACACAACTTCTTGTCCAGGCCCTGGTTATCTCTAGGCTTGATTACTGCAATGCTCTTCTGGCTGGACTTCCATCATGTGCAACTAAACCTCTACAAATGATCCAGAACGCTGCTGCTCGTCTGGTCTTCAACGAGCCCAAAAGGGCCCACGTCACTCCTCTGTTCATCTCCCTGCACTGGCTACCACTCGCTGCTCGCATCAAGTTCAAGGCATTGACACTTGCTTACAGATTGACCACAGGCTCAGCTCCCTCCTACTTTCACTCGCTCCTACGAGTCTACATCCCTACCAGAAGCCTACGATCAGTCAATGAGCGACGGCTCGTGGTACCTTCACAAAGAGCCACAAAATCACTCTCCAGAACATTCTCATTCACGGTTCCATGCTGGTGGAATGATCTCCCCACCCTCGTCCGAAATGCAGAATCCCTGACAGCATTTAAAAGACAACTGAAAACTCATCTCTTCCGTGAGCACTTAACTTAAAGTGAACTTAAAAAAAAAAAAAAAAAAAAAAAAAAAAAAAACCTTTAAATCCTCACTTGTCTGGTTTATGCTACTCTGAGCAATGTTTGAACTTTGTATTTTGAGCACTTCTTGGGTTTCTATTGTCTCTTCACGATGACTCGTTTGGTTAGTCCTCAGATGTAAGTCGCTTTGGATAAAATCGTCTGCTAAATGACTAAATGTAAATGTAAATGTAAATGTATATACAGAAAGCGATCAAAGAACAATCTTTCCACAGCGCGAGTTTATCTGGACACTTGCCAAACTCGTTATGAAATCAATGACGCACGTTACTGCACAACGAAGCTCTTACTGTATTTACATCATCGTGTTTGCATTGGTGAAAGCAGAGAGAGTGCAGAAACTGCTTTGCAATGATAAGATCTTCATTCTCGCGATCAACAGACTGTCATCTGCTCAATGCTCATCACGGCAACATTTTATGTGATGGGAATAGATCTAAATACTTTAAAAACATCTCACGATTCGTTAATCTCGATAGCTGTTATAGTAAAAACGTATAATAGCAGCAGTAAAAGTATTCGGGAGAGAGTTTCACATGTAATGCGTTGCTATTTCATATGCAAGCATGTCAGCCAATCACAGCAGTGGCCGCGGTTACACTGAATCCCACAGCAGACACGCCCCTTCAAACAGAGTGTTCAGAGGCTAAAAGCAGGCTAGGAAAATTGCCATTTATTTCTAAATTATGATTATTTTTTTATCTAAAAAACATACTAACATTATAAGGGTAACCCAGGAAACATTATAAAATAATAAAAAAAAACATTCTAGGGCACCTTTAAAATAATTTAATTAAAACCTCAGTATATAAGTCTGCAATTGTGCACTCTTCTGTACAGCCTTGTAATTCATTGTATTTTTCAAAAATATAATTTTCTATTCAGTGCAAAAGCCGTACACAGGGTTTTATAAATACAGAGGTCCCAAAAGTGATCTTGCCCGGGGGGGGGGGGGGGGGGCATATTATTTTTGCACTGTCTTTGTCAAAGAACTTAGGCTATGTATATCTGTGTTAAATGGGAATCCATTGCAATAAAGTTATTCTCATTCTGGGCACAGTATTGCTTTACCTGCTCTCCTCTCTCATCTCCATCTCCATCTCTCGTTCTTCTTCTCTCAGTCTCTTTATCTTTACCTGTAAATATCCCCTTCCCGAAGCTGAGCTTTGATTGATACAGTCTTTGCAAACTGATTATTTATTTCGGTCGTTTAAAACTGCTATCATAAAACAGCTGTTTAGTTTTGCCACTTGCATCTTATCTCGTAAAGCGTCGCGTTGGGATTCGCGCGCGGCTCGCGCTTCTGTGAACATAAATCCTGCTTTCATCGGTCATCTCCAGGGCTGGACTGGTAATCTGGCATACCGGGCAAATGCCCGGTGGGCCGACGTGCTTTTTGGGCCGATACATCTCATACTTTGTTTTTAGCGGCCCATAAAACTCGTACATCGGCGGCCCACTGGTTTTGTTTTGTTTAATTGACGGCGCTGGTTTAGTGCCGGTGTAATGCATTGGTCAAAAAAAAGTAAGCGTCAGTTTTCTTTCCCCACTGACAGACAGGCCCATGAAACGCGTAGATCAGCGGCCCATTGGTTGTTTTCTTGATTGACACGGGGCTGGCCCAATCACATCTTTAAACACCTCCCCCTTTGGGCTTTGAGTGAGCGTGCAGTGTCAAGTGTGTATCTGTCAAAATAGTCTGAGAGATGGAGAAGAAACGCAAGGAATGTGCAGAGAAATAGCGTGTAATAGAAATAGCAGACGCTGTAAAATCTGTCAAAATATGTTTTCTGCAGCAACAGGACCAGCTGCAGAAAACATCCAGTGGCTGATGAGGAGGATAGTAAGGAAGATCAAGAGAGAGATGAGAAAGTGTAGAGTCCGCGGTAAGCAGAACTACTTTCAAAACACTTTGGATATAGGAACCCATAACCCAGTTACGCATTATTTCCACATCTGCATAGTTGACGATTACAGAAATTTACCAGAAGTTTAATGAGACGCGTTTTTATCCATGTTTTCCGCCAAAATAAAAGCTTGATGCAGTTTCCGTCAAAATAAAAGATCATGTGGTTATCTCTTTCAAGTTTAGAAATTAGTACAAAATTATGAAAGTTTTCTTTATTTTCAGTGCATTTGTTTTACAATATATGGCTATTAGGCTACTGTCATGAGATTAATGTTATAACTATTATTATGTAGTAGTGTAATATAGACAGACACTGTAGGTTTAATTTTTTCTTTGTTATATTTGCACACTGAATATGGGTTGGAGTTTTTAATTTTGAACCCTCAAACTGCACCAGATTGATGAATTTAACATTAAAATGCACACAATTTTCTTAGGGGGAGCATGCCCCCTAACCCCCCTAGAAGGACAGAGGTCCGCCCACCACAGTTTTACCAAATCCCTGTGAGAACTTGTATTTCTATGCCAATGCAGATTATAGCTTGTTTTTTGGATGCATCACTGTGGAGTATAGTTCAGTTTTATTAATAAAGTACAATTTTGTACTTATTTCATCTGTTAACTCTCACTCGTTTATACTCACTCATATATGGCATTAGTGTTTTTAATGAATAGGAGTTGAACAAAAACATATTCAAGGGCGTGCAAAGATGGGTGGTGTTTATTATCATATGTAGTGGGCCAGTCTGGACCAAAATGCCAGGGCCGATTTTCTGTCCCAGTCCAGCCCTGGTCATCTCAAACATTTTGACATATCACAATTTGATAATTTAATTAATATATTTTACTGATAACTTAAACTATGTTAAAATAAATATTACTACAATAATTTGAGGAATGTTTAATTTGCATATAACGTGTTGTCTTTCTTAACGCCGTAATACACCTTCGCGCGAAGTGGAAAATCGATTCCTGAGCAATCGATGCCAGCTAATTCAGCACCTTCACTTGGGACAGCGCCTTTGTAACGTCGAACGTAAGAGGCAGCGTGTTAAGAAGCTTCCTAAGGGACACTTCGGGGAACACACTTAGGAAACACAAACACAACTTTGGTAAGATATATCTGTCGAGTCTTCTTAGCGCGCTAAGAGTGCGTTATCGGGGAACCGGGCCTACTTCTCCATGTTAAACTAGTCGAATAGGGCTTTACAGTACAATGTAAATTATAAGGTAGCCTATGAATATGAAAAATATTTTTCTATCCTGAAAGTACCATCATATTCGTTGCAGGATGTAGTTAATCACATAAATTAGGCCCATACTTTATCTAGGACTATTTCTGTTTTAGTCCTAGATATATATATATATATTGTATTTGTCATACAGTCCTTACCACTACCCCTGGGTAACGCTACCCCTGACAGCGCCTCCAGAACAGAACTCTTTCCTGAGCTTTGGTCTCCAATGACGGCGATGGCAGGCAACGCCAGGTCCTTTTCGACTCCCAAAGAACGTAAATTGTCGATAGTGTCGATGCAAGGGCGGATTTTTTCCTCATATTGCTGACTGAACGTATAACCTGTTTTCTCCATCCTCAACCAACGTCGGAAATGTCTAAATAACAAAGAGAAATAGGCAACTTCGATATGTCAGGCGCTGTATATTTGCGCACTCCTCGAATGGATTGTCTCAGAGAGAGTGATGCTGTTTTTACAGGTAAGGTGAATCTATGTTGCTTGTTAAGTTTCATTTCCTGGATATCACAATAGTTTCGTTTCATCCTTTGAAGAAAGGTTCTATTTCTCAACATGGGCGGTGCTAGAGGGAGGGGCTGCACAGCACCCCCAAGAATGATCAGAGCACCACAACAATTAAGTCGTTATTTCAACAAAATATCTCGTTATTTCGACATAATATAGCGTTATTTCGACATAATATCTGTTATTATTTCGACATAATAAGTCGTTATTTCGGCATAATACCAATTATTTCGACATAATAAGTCGTTATTTCGACATAATACCTCGTTATTTCGACATAATAAGTTGTTATGTAGACATATTAACTCGTTATTCCGACATAATAAGGGGTCTGCATTAAGCCACATTAAGTGTTATAAGGGTTTTCTGGAGGAAACACGGTGCGTTCATATTCTAGGCTCATCTGAATTATTTTTTTTTTTTTTTTTTTTTTTTTTTTACATAGGCCTAATAGCCTATATGGTTTTAGTATCATAATGATTAATACATGCACGCACAATTATCCGTGAACTTAATAAATGTTGCAGATATAATTTATGCACAAACAAATGCCTTTCAACTTATGTGTGCAAAATTCAGAATTAAATGAATGTGCAGCAATTTGTACAAATATAGAGTCTGTTGTAGCCATTAAATAAGCGCATTTAGTTTCATATTTGTTAAAAATATTATAATGTTATTTTTGTTTCATCTATGTTGATTATGGAAAGTGCATGCGCAATAGTGGGTCAGACAAGATTTTGACCACTTCATTAAGCCTTTCTTTAAAGTGAATATTTTTATTCTTTAAAGCAAGCATATTCGTCTTAAATAATTGTATTTTCAGCTCAGAATCATGAATATTTTTATTCTGGTGTCACTATTGTCCTGTGCTTTGGGTTTCCAGCACCAAGTCCAAGCCTATTCATTTACACACACAATGTAATATAAAATTTAGCATTTTAATCAACAGTACATTTTTTGTTAACCTTTTATCATATGTCTTGGAGAATCTCAATAATATCGTATCTTGAGTGCAGTGTCGTGATATGTATCTAATCGTGACATTAGGGTATCGTTACACACCCCTACTTAAAAAGCATTGGACTACCTGCAAAAAAATAAATACATAAATAAAAGCTTCAACAGAGTTTGAAATTCAGTTTTTGCTGTTGTATCAAAATATTGAGAATTGTGCAACCATGATATATATTGTTACTGTGAAGTAAAATTAAGATTTTGGGTCATATTCTTTGCTAGATAGCAGAAAAGGTTCCCACAGTTTTACATACAATATGAATTTTTGAATAGTGTTCACCACAAGTAATCGACTACATTGTAACCTGGTCAGAAATATAAATGGCTTTTATTTTGCACAAGTTTATTTGTAATGGCCAGCAATTCATTCACTGTGACCTACCTGCACTGGATGGCCAATTTCACATGTATTTTGTGTATTGTCAAAATACAAAATACTGTATTTGTGTTTAAATAATTTTTTTCACACAGTATTTTGTATTTGTATTTAAATAAAATTTTCCACACAGTATTTTGTAATTGTATTTTAAATACATTTCCATATATTTATGCCAATCTCTTGTTGCATTGCTGATCATGGTTTAAACTTTAGAGTATTGATATAGGCTACATCAATACAAATGCACACAGAAGGGCACATGGGTTTCTGGGCGAATGACACAGAGGTGGACAACCTTGGCCAGTGGCCATATCACCCTGTAGCCCAAGACAGGTTGCCCACTGAAGCTAAGCAGGGATTAGCCTGGGCGGGGTTTCCCGATAACAATGTATCTTAGCTCTTAAGAGCGCTCTCTACGTGCAAAGTTACAAACGCTCGCCGCAATTTGACGCGCGTTTCCCAAAAATGCACTTAAAATGAACGCGCGACTACGCGTTCTACGTGCTACTTAAGAGCCGCTGTCCATTTGCGAAGTGCTGAAATATAACCTTATATGGAATCGTATTCTGAACTTTTAACCTAATAATTGTCATCTGTTGTGGATTAGCAATCAAGACAAGTCTATATAAAGCACCTACCTACAGGGTGAGGCACTGACAAAATGGCTGAAAAAAAAATCAAGAAAAGATACCTTTCAAAAAGATGACATTAATGTCCTTTTAGAGGAGATAGAGCGAAACAAAGATGTTATTTTTAACAGATTTAAAGGACACCATACAAATAAGGAAAAACAAAACGTCTGGGAGGACATTGCTACCAAACTAACTGCAACCAGGGGTGTTCAAAGATCAGGGAAGGAGGTCCGCAAGAAGTGGCAGGATTTTGCAAGCCTGGCAAAAAGAAAGAAGGCACTGCAGAGGACTGCAATTAAAAAAAAAACAGGTGGTGGGACCAATGAGTCCCCCCTTCTCACAGCAGAGGAAGAAAAGGCCTTGTCAATACTTGGCACAAGTGCTTCAGATGGCATTAGTGGGGGTATTGACATCCATGGAGGAGTAGGGATAACTCAACCTGAGCCTGAGCCTGAGTCAGGTCCTTCATGCTCAGAGGAACCATCAGTTTTATCTGCCTTCTCCCAGCACCTACCATCTCCTAGTCCTCCAAACAACCCTCCCAGGCCTCAGCCTCCATCTTCAGTGGTCCAGACTGCAGCCACAACACCTCGGCAGTTTGAGAATGTCTGTAGCTGTAGTCAGGACCTAGTGCAGCTGGAGAGGGAGAAGCTTTTAGGCAATGCCTTCAAGAAGCCAATGAGAGAGACAACAACTTTCAACAGCAGCTCATTGAGCTCAAGAAGGCCAAGCTGGCCTTAGAAGAGAGGAGGCTTGCACTAGAGGAGATGAGTTTTGCAAGGCCCTCAATTTCTGTGCCAAATCCTCTTCCCACTTTTCCAGCATTTTTCAAATATTGCCAGTGGGTGGAGTCAGGGTCTGACCAGGGGTTTAGTTACCCTTTAGGTGTCATATTGAACAATTCATTCTTAGAATTAAACAGTATAGGGCCTTCAAAATGACGAAAAGAAAAGTTTGTTAAGAACCAGAATTTAAAAAGGATATTAAGATATCTTTAATATTTTTTGAATTACAGGTCTGCAAACTTTGGGGGAAGACAAGTGCTTTTTCTCATGTTTGAACTGTCACCATTGGCATAATGCAACAAAAATGGCTAAAGTCAACAGATTTTACTAATATATCTCTGTGTAAAAGTAAGATAACTATGCTGCCATTTCACTAAAGGAAGTTGTGGCCTAATGGTTAGAGAGTTAGACTTGTACACCGAAGGTCTCAATACCGATAGGAAACAACTGAGGTGCCCTTGCCCTTTACTCCCCAATCTGTCCCGCTGCCCACTGCTCCGGGTGTGTGTGTCCACAGTTAGCTTTGTGAGTTCATTACTCTTAATGTGTGTAATAATAATAAAATAATTCATTACATTTATATAGGGCTTTTCTGATTGAAATATGAACATATCACACCAGTCCTCAGGTCTTTACATTGGCTCCCAGTTACATTTAGAATTGATTTTAAAGTATTATTACTGGTATATAAATCACTCAATGTCCTAGGACCATAATACATTGAAGATATGCTCAATAAATATAAACCTAACAGATCACTCACATCATTAGGATCACATCAGCTAGAAAAACAAAGGGTTTACTTTGAAAAATATGATACACCGGTGTTTTGCAAGATGAGAAGTTTATTAATGCATAATCTTATTACTCTTTTAATTATTTTTATAATCCACTATATGTCCGACTGATGGCACTGTATTATTCCTTTTGATTCAAAACTGACCTCAAATGGCACTGAGAATTGGGTAAGAGACAAACATAAATTACTTAATTGGGAAACTTGAAACCATGCTGAGATGAAGATGAGATTAAACCTGATGACATGGGTCTGTTGTAGTGAGTAGTGAGTTTGATGTGTATTTAAACTCAAGGTTCTGTGGGGTGTGGACTGGATTGATTCCATAGAGCTTCCGAACAAATGGGTTTTTGGGGTGTGGACTGATGGGGCAGTGAACCTGAGGTTACCCCGTGAGACAGTCCAAGAGCTCCTCCTGTCCGATTTTAGGGGAAAATCGGATCCATCTTAGCCTGGCTAACGTCAGACCCAAGTCTCATTGAGACTTGGGTCTGGGAACCACATGTTCATTTTCTCGTAATTGAGGCGTGGTTTACGAATGCCCAGAGCCGTTTATTGGGTGCTAAGAATGTCTATCAAACTTTCAAGACTATCAATGTTATAAATGTGATTGTGTGATTGGTTCCCTAAATGAGGTGAAAATTTGGTCCATGGTATCCAGGCTACCTAGCAGCGTGAATAAAATCGCGCTGCGGCAAGGTAGTATGGGGAAACCCAGGCTAGGTCCATCTGAGACGTCCAATAGATTTCTTTGGCGCACCGAAAGAACACTACAGACACAGTGTAATCACCATGGGAAAATCTCTGAGTACAACTGGGAGTTGTGAAAAATATGATACACCGGTGTTTTGCCAGATGAGTAGTTTATCTATGTATCATCTTTTTACTCTCTTAATTCGTTTTATAACTGTACCATATATCTCTTTTAATTTCTTTTATAACTGTTTTAATTTTCCTTGCTTTTATTTTTTGTGATTATTTTAATTCCTTTCTGTAAAGCACTTTGAACTGCTAAAGTGAATGAAATGTGCTATATAAATAAACTTGCCTTGCCTTGCCTTACTGTGTTTCAAGCAAACATTGTCGCTGCCTTAAACGATTAAGCAAAAACCTAATCAAAGCATTTCTAACTACATTGCTGAGCTTAGACGTTTGTCTGTGAACTGTGCTTTCGGGGATTAGTTAGAAACAATGCTGCATGATAGAATTGTGATAGAAACGTATCGTGTTCTTTTCTGTACTTCAGAGCAGTTTTTCCACTTCTTTCAAGTGGACACGATGGGTTTCAAG